TCTCTCTCTCTCTCTCTCTCTCTCGTCTCCTCACTCCTACTCCCCCCCCTCTCTCTCTCTTTCTCCACCCCTCCCCCCTTCAGGCCCTCTCCTCGCTCCCCCTTACACATTAATTGTCATGTGTTGACCGCTAGGTTTTGATGTTCGTGTTCCTCCCACCGTGGATTTTGAGGAGTTCGAGAACCAGATCAAGGGTTGGTGCGCTGAGGCAGGGCCCGATGTGACTGTGCGATTTCAGCAGGTTTGTACAGACTCTACATGCTGTAGCAAACACTAGGCCATAGACATCACATTCTGTTTTTTAAATATTTTTAGTTGGCTTTTTTCTTCATTATTTGTATTTTTTTAAACGTTTATTTTAGTTTTGTAAGAGTTTTATGACGTTCGCAAGCACATAAGGTCATATGAGCGCCTTGGCGTAAGCTGGGTTTTTTTAAGTTGGTTCACAACACGGCTTGATTTTAATTTATTGTAGAAATATAAATCAAGGCCAGAAGTAGAAGTAAAGTTAGGCCTTTAGGTCTGAGATGTTTAAGCGGACTAAAGACCAGAATACAGAGTATGTCTACAGCGTCAAAAAAAGGCCCAAAAGATCCATATTAAAACACAACAACATAAAACATTGAGAAAAATAAAACTGAAACCATAACAGTAATGAAATGAAATGGAAAAAAAATGATTACACTCTGTCCTCATTCCCACTAAGCAAAGCAAAGTTTCAAATGGAGATTTGTTTCTATTTAGCAGCAAATGTTGATCACTGGCGAAAATTACTCACATGCAGTACATTTAACACCTGACATGTATTCTCTCTTACTCTTAATAAGACACAATTTTACTTGAAAATTTATATCCTTACCATAGCGCTTCCTCCCTGTAGTGAAGATACCTCCTTACACACAGTGTGCCATTACACTGTCCCTCGCTCTGTCCAGAAGTTAATTAAGGAGGAGACTAAAGAGACTAGTTGTAAACTTTCAGCCGATGTGCCATGTGCAAACCGTTTCTTGTACTCGGTCAAGAGTGACAGATGACTGCCTTCTCTAATGAGTCTGGTCAGGGGGCCTCTAAATCTACCCCTCTCCCCCATTTTTTGCAACACGAAGTTAAGTGGAAGTAGAAAGGACAGGGTGCTCACAAGTGGATCTAGGAAAGAGACCAACGACATACAATTTGACTAAAATAATAATTGATATCAAAGAGGATAGCATCTTTAACATTTTTACACCATCATCGTCATCACTGACAAACAAAAAGAAAACAATAATAGCAACAATAACAATATCAAAATCATCGATGACATTTACGAGGATAACGTTCAAAACAATAACAACAGCAAAAACAATAAACAACAGCAGCAACAATACAACTTTGCATCGACAACGCTGAAGGCGAAGCTCACAACAGCAAATAAATTATTAACAGAAAAAGTGATGATTCATTCGTTTATTATTAAACGCAGAAAACAACGTTCAAAGAGGTGACAGCCACGGACTCCAGCAGCCCTTGGTGGCTAGCTTTCAGCAGAGCCTGTGAGAAATCGTGAGTAGCTTCCCTCTACTGCTTATTTAACTCGTTGCCTCCCTTAACACTCAATGCCCTACGAGGCGGATGTCGTCAGTGAAAATTTGACAGCAGGTGCAAATACTCGTATACATAAATTAATTCATTTTTATGGGGGTAGATTTTGTTGCTGTGACTTAAACAGGGTTGTTTTTGTCGTGTTTTTTTCTTCTTTTCTCTATTCTTGTTTTCGGTTGGGTGATTGGAGAGTGCCACTGGTGGGTCCTACTTCTCTACTTCCCCTGTTCTTTCTGTTTGTCTGCCGTACTTTTTTCCAGCACGAAAGTGACCATTACTGTGTCGATGTGCATTTATTCTTTCCTCAAACAAAAGCAAACTTGTTGTCGGTGTTTTAACAGCAACTCCTTTTTCTAAAGTACTATTCGTTAATGTTGTTTTGTTATTGTTGGCGCCGTTGTTTCTGTTGCTTGCGCTGAATCAGAACTTAATTTGGCTACTGGCGTTGATTTTGTTTTCAGCGTTGTCGATAATTTGTAGGTTTTTTGTCTCATTAGTCACTGTCGTTTTTAAGTCACGCTTTTGAATTTAGCTTCGTCATTGTTATTGTTAGTGGTTGCAGGGTGGGTTTTTTTGTTGTTGTAGTTTTTGCTCTGGTCACAAGCCAATTACCCCTTTGCCGAGAGCATGTCGAGTTTCAGTCTTTTGTTAATAAATTAAAATGATATAAACATAATAAATATTATTATCATCACAGCGCTGACCTGCCGAATCCCTTTGGTATGACCTTAGCGCCTCGACAGGGAATTATCTGTGCCAGTGACCTTTTTGTATTATGTTTTGTTCGTGCGTCGGCAGTCTAGTGGCTACGTTACTGGACTAGTGGTTGTGGGATTTGAGGTTCGGGAGTTCGAGGCTCAGGTTCAACTTGGTGTCCTTGGCAAAAGCACTTTACACGAATGTTCCAAACTTCACCCTTATGTGAATGGGTGCCCGGCCATAGAAAGGAAAATATCTTGTCAATATGGCAGTGCTTCAGTGCCTGTAAAATGGTAGCTTGCACTGTATGCTTCCCAATAAGTTGGGAGTATTTCAGAATGCTGTCAGGTCTACAGGGGTAATAATATACACTGAAAAAAACATAGATCTTGCTGTTTAGAGGAAATTTGAGTTGTAAAGATTAATGTGTGTGTGTGTGTATATATATTATATATATTATTTGTGCAAAAGGGTCATGGAGTAGGTGAAGACCGGAGAGTGGCTACCAGGAATTCGTTACTTGTCACGGAGAATGGGGGAAAAGACATTACTGGGTTTTTTTTTTACCATATCACCATAGAGGACATGGGTCCCAGGCTATGCTTTTTAAATACAGTGAAATCTACACGTTACAACAACAAAAAAACGATACTCCCCCTATTTGAAAACTAAGAACCGTAATATTACATAAATGGTAGTAAGGCTAAAGCACTGTGTGCTACACACACCCTACAATACCCCCCCCCCAAAAAAAAGAAAAATACATGGGTGGGGAGTGGGGGGGGGGTTATTGTAGGGTGTGTGTAGCACACACAGTGCTTTAGCCTTGCTACCATTTATGTAATATTAAACTTGCCTTCTAAACGTTTTGTACATTTTAGAATAAATATAGTATAGCATCTTGGAATTGCCAAATTCAATAACCTCAATCGGTCAGCTACCCTGACGAATTTCGATTTTGGATTTGATTTGTCACACGTAGGCAAAGATTTTACCCTTCACGACGGGCTATCGCTCTAGTTGAGCATCTGTAGATGAGCATTTGAAACTCTTCATGTAGTGGCGCGTTTTGTATACAAAAAAACAAAGAGGAAGGGCACAGATTGTTCTTAGATAACTTCTAATTGAAAAAAAAAAACACCAAAGGAGAAGAGTTCTTTAATAAATCAGCGCTGGTGGAGACATCTGTAAACAAATGCATAGTTTGTGGAGAACGTTGTTTTTCAGTCAGCGGAACATGTTTATCGCGCACTATCTTTGATGGGAACTCGATGTATGAACCGAAGTACAATTCAGGTTTGTTTTTCCTTGGTACCAAAAGCATTTCCTTTCAATTCAGTTTCAGGGGGTCAGTGCTCTGGCGTCCAAAAGACCTACATTTTTTTTACAAGAAAATGAAGGCTCTACAAAGCAAATTCAAAGATGTCTATATCGATTTCTGAAACTGACGCATGGCCTCATTTCTGAGTGACGTCAAATCTTTATTTGTCGTTTCCGGATGTTCATTAGGAATCGGAGATAAGCCTGACCGTGTTTCCAGCTGCTTTTTACTTTCCTATAAGCTACCCCAAGGACGTAATCCCAATCGACAAAGCAGAATAATAATGCTTCATTGTCTGGGTTAGTGACTAAGAGATTGCTATCTGTTTTTACGTCGCTGTTTTAAGCTTCCATCGAAACAACTAAGATCATCCAGGAGGCGGGCTTCGACCCTGCCTGTCATCAGAACTGACTCGGGCTGAAAGGGATACCGCATCCCAGCAGAATGACAGAAATACTCGATAAAAATAATTTCTCGACACGTGGGAATCGAACTCATGTCTTCAGCTGCTTACTACGGAGAAACACCTAACTGCTGCACGACAAACACCGGCATCGCCATCTCTTAAAGCATCCCTTCCTGCTTTAACAATATTGAATACAAAGAAACTCTGAAAGCAACGGACTTCTTCTTCTTCTTTTTTTCCTTCTCCTTCTCCTTCTCCTTCTCCTTCTCCTTCTCCTTCTGT